TCAAACAAGTTGATGAAACAGGAATATTAAAAGTCTTGTTTAAAGTCATCATTTCGTGCGATATATGGTCTATACAATAACCTTGTCAGCAAATACAATCTACCAGAAAATCAAATGCAGACCGATGTTTTTATAGTAACTGTTAGGTCATTGGTTACAAACTAATTGTTGAGGGATTTTTCCGTCACTTTCCGATCATGACAAGGAGCACACGGCGATTGTGACCGGTTGACAGGGGATGCTCACTCCTTCATGGCACCTGGTCCCACTGCTAATGTATTTGAGGTCCGTGTTTGCATTGCTTCTAAGTTGTAATTTTAATGGACTTTAAAGCTTATTGAAAATAATAACATTTCCATTTTTTTTCGTGTTAAGCATAAACTTCCATGTATCATTCAAAATACCCTACCTATTAAAATCAAAGTAATGATTCCGTACTGAAAGACTTCATTACTTTACAAATTTCATTAATGCAGAAAGGAAAAAAATACATTGTAAAAATATATCTTCCTGTTTTTCATTTACACTGTTATAAATTAATCGGTATTCACTATTCATGAAACCTGTTGAATTGTCAGAATTTCACCATGTTCAAATTATTTCCAGATGTAAACAATCGGTATCACTTAAGTAATTTTGTATTACGCAACCGAGTATATTGTATATTAGAGTGGTTCAGCATGATATTTTTCACGTTTACAGTTTTAGAACGCTTCTTTAATTTGAGATAGAGAGATATGACACTGATTTATAACCCCTCTCCTATGAATCTGGGTAGATGTGAAACTATTTTGTTGTTTTAATTGTGATTCGTGGTTTTCAAGGACATTTTTGTACAGATATACAATCTATAATTATCATGCAAGTTTAATCAATTGGGTCTTTACTTGTAAAATATTATGCATTCAGTTTTAAGCTTGGTAGAAGAATTACAAAATGGCCCAGAACAGGGTTAAGTGTACGTACTGTAGTATTTTTCGATATCCGAAAATGTAAAAAAAAATATTGAAAAATACCAGGTATGTAAAAACAAGGTGTAATCACACAGTGAAGACCCCTATGTTTTTTTTTTTTTTTTTTTTTTCTTGGTTTCCACTTTATATTTTAGATAAGGACGAATGTGCCAGTAACCCATGTATGCATGGAGGAACATGTCACGACTGGATTAATGAATTCACTTGTTCGTGCCATGATGGGTATCAAGGACCACGATGTGAACGTGGTAAATGTAGTATCTAGGCTTCATTTCATAAAGATAAATTAAAGAATGATTACGGTACACCTGTTATTTTTAATTAAATTTCATAAATGATTTTTTAGAAGTTTCCTGACAGTTAATTCAAGAACATTAAAAGAATAAAATTAATCAAAATATTTGACCTATCATGCCAGACGGAACAGAAAAAAGACATTATGCATGCGCTTACTTTGGATATACAAAATTGTTGTCAAAGATCTGTAAATCTGTAAATTACTTAGTAATAAATACAGGATTTTGGCATATGCGATATGTCTGACGCAACAATAGCCAGCCCTGCAGGGCTGATATGGATCTGTGGAGCTGATACGGATCAATATCACACCACTAGTAAATCAAACGTTAAAAACAGTACTTGTGATGATGCACATATTCTCTTAATTCCAACTTTTTAATCGTAAGGACCGTCTTATTGACAGAATATTGTTTCAAATTCTGGATCGGGCACATTTGAAATAGAAGTAGAAAAATACCCACAACGGGTAAAACATTAAGCAACATTGTATGAACGAGAGGGGTGATAAAAATTTGCGAACTTATTAAATCACTTCCATAAAAGAAGCAAGATTTGGTTTCAGTGTTGATTATATTTTAAATTAGTCCTCTTCAAATTTAATGCACATCTGCCAACGTTCTGCTCATACGCGAATCACGTGACATAGACGTTCAAGTGACCTGCTCCGTAGCGTTCTGTCACAAAAACTGAAAGATTTTTCTGAGTTTTATATTTACTTCAATGCATGTTATTTTTAGAACAAGAAAAATTCATTTGTAAAAAATGTTCAAATCTCGGCAACAGAATGGGTGGATAAGAATATTCGTTCTCAAAATAAGCATGGTGACCGTAAAATCCCAAATGTCTCTTTCTCGGGAGTCTTTTATTCAAGGTGGATAGAGAAGGGGTCCCTCCTTTTATCATATCAAATATGTTTAAAATCTAAAGTAAACTTAGTCTGAAGTATTTGATAATCTTATTATTTTTAAGATAATCAACTATTTTTCAAACTGTAAATAGTAGGTCTTTCATAACAAATTGCTTACTAGTAATTTTAAAAATACATATCCCTTTTCAAACTTGATTTCACTGAGCAACAGTACAAATATCATTTTAAACCATCTCACTTACTTCACTAAAACGACCAATCCAATGATTAATTGAGTTTCTAGGAAGTCTTTTGTCTTTATGAACTGTGTACAAATTATTGTACGCTACTGCAAAAGAATTTTGTCTTTTACAGAATGTGCATTTTTTGTTTATAATGGTGAGGGGGGGGGGAGCAACAAAAGTACTTAGTTGAAAACTATTGATTAAAAGAAGGATATGGAAATAAGTCCATTTTAGAAGAAATATTAAAGAAATCTCATACGTCCATTAAACAAATATACAAATATATAAGAGCAGAGCAAACACAATTGGACCTCCCACTTTCACCCTGTTTTATGAAATGAATTACGGGTGACAAATTTTTAACACACATTATTCAAAAATGAAGATATATTAAAAGAGATTTTTTGATTTTTTTATATCACTCAACATCAAAAGATTTATATCACGGGGGGAATATAAATTATTATTTTTCAGGGCTTTTGGCAAAAATTAATTGCTTTTCAAAATATAATTTTTTTTTTAATTTAATTCTGATGTTTGTAAACCTCATTTGTTATAATACAATGTTAACAACAACAAAAAAAAAATAAATAATGACTGTTGTTGCAATAAATTAGGATTTGTAAAATTGGACTTAATAGTTTATTCTTGTTCCTGTTAACCAACAGAAAACTGGGGTTACATTTTTTGTGTTTTGTTACATTCAAATATGCATGCACGTATCATAACGCTTTCATTGGTGATTTACCGAGCTCTTAGATATGTAGAAAAATAGTAGAGTTTTGGGGATTCATTTGCTTCCTTTGATTTGAATTTCCATACTTATAATACTGCATTCGAAAACTCAATGAAAATCCTTATAAAAATAGAAACATAGGGATTTCCAGTGAATGTTCTATCAAGCTCTTTCTTTCTTTCTTTCTTTCTTTACTTCTAACTTAAATATTTACAGCGATGAAGGATTGAATGATTGATTGTATATTGTTTAACGTCCCTCCCGAGAATTCTTCACTCATATGGAGACACCATCACTTGCCGATAAAGAGCTGCAAATTTTGTCCTAAACTCGGCACTCAGGGCTTTTCATCAGGGAGGGATCTTCTTCGTGCCAGCACCTACTGCGACACATGTGGTGTAAATCAGACGCGAATGCTTAAAACTCGAACTGAAGTTTTTAAATTACAAAATTTTACCAAAATTAATATCATCAAATCTTACGAATTTTTAAACTTTATATGAATAATCCCTTACGATAAATTAGAGTCAAAGCTAAGCTTAGTCTTATCTTTGGTCTTTTGCAAAAATATTTTGTTAGAAAACTTTGTACACACAGGTACTCTTAAAATTGATATTTAAAAGAGCAGGTCTTCTACAATCTGTTGGACTTCCCTAGGGCAAAAATTGCGCCTTTTTTAGAAGACCGATTTCAATTAATTATTGTACCTTTTTTGAGTTTGAGATAAAAGAAACCACAGAATCTAATACATTTTTTTATGTTTGGGAATTTTAATAGGAAAAGACGTTAATGGTAGCCAAACATAACAGCTAAATCAACGTGATGACTTCACCTTCTCCTATCCCTATCACCTGCATACGGGGTTAATGTCATTCAGTTGATTCGATAAACAATAAAAAGTGTTATACGTAAGAACAATTTCTAAAACAAAGTAAGCTATTGACAAAAATTGATGAAATATGGAAATTGACAGTCTCTTTTGCAGTCATCATTTCAAATGTCTTTTGTTAAGGAGCAAGCATCGGATCCGAATTTCTCTCTAAAACACATACATTTCTATACAAACCAAACTTTAATTTTATGGCATAGGCATTTTAAAAAGTAGGAAGAACTTGCAGTATATAGATAACAACGGTAATTAAAAACTTAATTAAAAACTTCATTCAACAACTAGTTCTACATGTATCTTTTAAAAGATAGGACAAGTCTTCTGAAGCATTAGTTTTGAGCATCAAGGCTGGCAAAGGTTTTCCATGTGGGGGAGAGGGAACCTCCGAAAAAAAATCTGCGTACTACAGAGCCTTGCTACATGTGTACCATCAGATCTATTTCCCAATGATAGATTTCTTCCGCATAAATCCAGAACAAATGTCAAGTCCTAGCCGCTTTGGGTAACACGTATCAAAATAGGCCGATTTTAAAAATTACAAAACTGTGGGCTAATCAGAGATAAAATTGAACAATTTTGCTATGAAAGTACAATCAGTCAAAGTAGGCAGATCATTGTAGAAATGTGAACAAACCTAAATAAATATTTCCTAAACCTAGAAATTTTCTCTAATTAAATTTCAGATAGAAACACATGCATATGGTCCACGTATTGCAGTCCATTTTTAAAGGACAGCAACTTGTTTGTATTGTTTAAATGGACTTGAAACTTGAATTCTGTTCGTTATCTTGATATTTTATATATTAACGCTCCTTGTACTTCATCAATACAAATTAAACGGCTCACAGAGTGTTTGACCCGTGGACATGTCTTGCTCACTGTTCCTAAGCACCTGATCCCCCCGGAATATTCGGGAGTGCATGTTTATGCTTTGTTCCCAGGATTGCATTGTTTGTAGTTGTTATAAAATGGATTGCAAATCGTTATTTCCAACTTTTCGTTCCTTTAGATATTAACGAGTGTGCAAGTAACCCATGTTACAATGACGGAACATGTCACGATTTAAGGAACAACTTTACATGTTCGTGTCAGGACGGGTATTATGGACCACTTTGTGAGCTTGGTAACAGAAATTTTTTTTCGAATTTGGAAGTTTAGATTTTCTTTTAAAACTTGTAGTGAGAGGATTTTTTCTGAATCAGGGATAAATATGTGTACTTCTTGATACTACCATATGACATAACAATATCCAAAATTCAGTCATTTTCATAATATATTGATCTTGAAAGTGTAATAACATCAATGAATATAAATAGATATTAAGGATCCATAATCATCTCCAAGAAAGATAATGAACAAGATTTTTTTTTCAAAACGCCATTAAGTAATAATGATGTACAGGCCTAGGTATTCACAATTGTAAAGTCCAAAATCTGCTTTTTGATTAAAAAACTTCCAACCAAACTTTAATAGAATGTACAAGGCCCGATTACTGCGACGAGTACAAATGCACCACAGAAGTGGATTTCATCTGTATCAAATGCTATGGACAGGGCAAAACTCCTGAGGATTCAATTTATTTTACTTCGTCGGACCTAAAAAAGTGTACAGGTTTGTAGAGATACCTAAAAATGTAGATTGTTTAATAATTATATTGATAATTCAATACATGTGTTTTGTGTTGATTAGTAGGGAAATGGTTGTCATTTTTTCCCGTATTCTAAAACTTATTTGCACAAATGATTCTACCTATTCCCCACGGTCGGCCAGTCTGGGAATCAAAGAGTTTCAAAGCCTGTCATATATATTCTATTGTAGATCAAAGTCCTCCTAAGTTTACAAACTGTCCTTCAGAGATGGTACAGAAGTATGATTCAGGAAAAGGTTCCTATGTAAATTGGGAGCCAATACACGTTGAAGAATACATTGGAAACTTTTCCCTTTCAAGCAACGTGCAAAATGGTGCCTTCTTTTCTTTTGGAGATCACCCTGTTGTTTATAGCGCAGTTGATAATTCTGGGAATGCAAAGAATTGTTCTTTTATAGTTAGAGTAATAGAGATAAAAGGTAAGTTACCTGATACAAAATCGATATTTAATGCTCGTGTACACTGTTATTTTATATGCATGAAGGATATGGAGAAAACGAACAGTATTCAATATCCAAGTCCATAAAACAATACAAAATAAGAGCAGAGCAAACACGGACCTCTAAAACATCAGAGATCGGATCAGGTGCCGACCGGTCACACGTATCGTACGCTCTTTGTCATGATCGGGATATAACGGGAAAATCCGTCGTCAATTCAGTGTAAAATTATGAAGAATTAATATCAAAAACGTCAGTCAGCATTTGACTCACTGATAAATTGTATTTGCTGACAAGGTCATTGTATCGACAAAAGAACTTACGATGATGACTTTAAACGAGACTACTCATATTTTTGTTTCATCAACGTGTTTGTCAATAATTTACCTCGTTTTAAAAATAGTTCATACGTAGAGCATGCAACTGAGATATATAAACTCCGTATGCAGGTGATGAAAGTATATTGGTGCATAAGTAAGGGAAGTTAACGATAGAAAAGTTAAAGTCACACGTTTATCATAGAGTTGTTTGTTAGATTACCATTATTGTCTTTTTCAAGTAAAACATCCAAGTATGAAACAGATGTGTCAGACTCTGTAGTATCATTTATCTCAAGCTCAGCAGGATATATTGTATCGACATAGGAATGGAAATTACCGTTGTTAATTGGTAATACGTCATCGATATAACTAAATGTTGAGTTGAAGGCCACAGCAAGTGTTTTCTTCTTTTCACGTAAAAGTTTTGCACAAATTCTAATTCATATGAATACAAACGACAGATCTGCCAATAACGGAGCGCAATTGGTATCCATGGGAATTCCAATAGATTGTTGGAAGACCTGGTCTCCAAAAACCACATAAATATTGTCAATCAGAAACTCAAGCATCATTTTAATTTTAACTTCAGAGTACTTGTGTTTGCGATCAGAATGCGTTCTAACAAAATAATTTTGCAAATGACTAATAACCAGGTACGTTATCATACGAGTTCCATTTTATTGAAAAAGCAGCTGTTAATGATATAAAAAATCCTGGACCTTTAATTTATCGTGGGGAATTTTTGTGTATAAAGTTGAAAAGTAAGTTTTTAAGCTGTTGATTTTGGTAAAATTTTGCGATTTCAAATTGTCCAAAAGTTCTTTGGAATTTTTGAGTATCCACATCTGATTCATACCACTTCTTGAATATATTATTGCACAGTACTCCTGAAGTTTTTCCTTCACTACTGTCAATATCTCAGAGATGAGTAAAGAAAGAGGCTTGGTTGAAAATTCACTGGAACCCGCAATGTATCTTTGTTTGTAATGATTCTTATGACGTTGACGTTTCGGAATCCAATAAATATATATGGTAGTTCAAAATCATTTTGGTTCTTCAAAGGGGCATAGAATCGATTGCATTGTGTGTTTATCATTTTGAATTTTAAAAAGTTAGTTCATTAGATTTTATTGACGCAAAACATCCTCATTACAACTTTAATCTTTATAACCTTACGCCTTGTACAAAAGTGTATAAATATTGGCTTCAACATTTTTACGTTTTCCCTGATTATTCGATTTGCTTACACTGCACTCGCTCTTACATTCATTGATTATGATTGTAGTTTATCTTTCATCTCATCAAAACTTTCAAGTTAAGGCAACCAAAGTCAATCATGTGATTTGTTGTTTTGTGTCTTCTTCCATGGTGCGTTCTGTGTTTAGATTTGAGCATTTTCAATTGTTTTATTTTTTTGTGGAGCGTTAAACCAATTTTAGCAAATTGATTTTTGGATTTTAAAAGAAAAAGAAAAAGGGGTTAAACTATTGGCATAATTATAATAAAAAGGAAGTCTATTTTCAAAATTGTGATGAAATATGATGACTTTGACTTTTCTATCGTCAAATTCCCTTACTTATGCACCAATATACCCTCATCACCATTGCATACGGTGTTTATATATCACCTTTGAAGCGAGAGCATGATCTACGTATGAACAATTTCTAAGACGAGGTATATTATTGACAAACAAGTTATTAAAACAAGATTATATTTTAACGTTACATAGCAAATTTGATAGACATCATATCGGGGGTTTAAAGTAATCATTTAAAAAAGTAATTTCTATATTTATAAATATGATACAATGACCTTGTCGGAATTTCAAATTCAATTTATCATTGAGTCAAATGCTGACAAAAATTTGAACACAAAAACGTTTTTCATATGAATTATATATTAATTAATATTTATTGATTATATCATATTAATCATTGATCTTTATTGAAATAATGTTGAAATGCGTACATTCAGAAAGAAAAAAACGTTATACACCTTCGAAGTGTATCTCTTCTAAAAACAATTAGTATATTTAGCTAATAAACTAAGTTTATGTAAATAATTAGAAAAGCGCGACGCGTCTTCCGAAATCGTAAAATCCACAGCTGCAATGTAAGGGTCTTATTGATAATATGATTAAATGCATTTATTTTTTAAGGGTCCTCACTGACCCTTTGTATCTAGCTATAAAAAGAATTAATTATGTAGTTTTGCTGAGCAAGAATGTTTCTTTCGAAATTGGAAATACCATATGGTCCTTGTGTCAAAAGTGATAAATAATTGTATGTTTCAGTCAGAATTGTGAGTTTCAGAACCCCTGGGTCAAAGCTTCTGGTGTAAAGATAGACGCATTTAATAATATTGTGAAAATGCATAATCCTATGTTCTCCTTGGAGTTGACAAGATGACAAGAGTCATGATTATAATGGTGCTTCTTACCTTTTTTTCTTAAACTTGCTGGTCTTTGGATCAAGTTATTAGGGGGGGGGGGGGGCTATATTGATAAGGTAATGAAAATGAGAATCGTCAACTAAGTGCAATATTATGATGAGGGTAATTCATTCTGTGGAATTGGTGAATTTGGTGACCCTAGATCTTTCATTTTGGTATAAGAGTAGCAATGTGTTGAATCTCTAGTGAAAATGCATTTTTTCGGCAATATTTGAAAATCTTCTCTGCCTCTCAGCAGATTGAAGGCAAACAGAATAAACGTTTTAATACGCAAAGATATTTTAATTTTATGAGATGTTTTAGAATTAGGACAATTTGGTCAAGTATTCTTCTTATGACAAGTGCTTCATGAATTTGAATTCAAATGAGAGAAGTTTATCACTTTTGATAATTAATCACTGAAATGATGTATTTAAAAAGTTAATAAAATAAAAGAAATATGCAACCAAAAAAAAAAAAAAAAAAAAAAAGGGCTAGTACTGTATTAAACTAAGTGTACTTTCATAGTTTTAATGATCAGATAGACTCATGAATAAATAGAAATGAAACAGAAATAACTTATCCTATTAAATATTCTTCAAAGGCCAAGATAGGCCAATGTGAGAGGTTGAAAAAGTACAGAGGAACTAATATATACATGTAGTTTGTTAAAAGTCTGCATGGTACTAGGGATAAATTGGGCATACATTTTATCTTTAATGTAAGAAGTATTTCTGAATACTAGACTAATTATTTCATTGATCCTGACCATCCTATTTCTCTTGCTTTTCGACAACAAAGCTTCAGCAAAGTACTCTTCGGGACCTCTAAATTGTATCATACTCAGGTAACGTTCAGGGTTTTTTGCCTCTTGTTTGAAGAAAAGCTGTGATGATTAATATTTGAGTTCAAATTAGAAAGCTTTTAGTTTCATTCAGAAACAAGAAAATAAATAATGTTATAAGTAGAAATTAAATATCTCAACTCTGTACACTACAGTTTGGAAGCTATGAAGAAAAAATTGACATTCGTTTTATTTTTCAAGATAAAGCTTGCTCAGCTCCACCTGTTCCATTTCATGGATTTTTGGGATGCCAAAACAAGGAAGCTTTACAGTGTTCCATACATTCCTGTGATGAGGGGTATCTATTGAAAAATAACGATTTACATACTTGTGAAAAGGGGGTTTGGAATCCGAAATTTCCTAAAGATTTCATAGCCACATCATGTATCAGTGAGTAATACAAGTTTAAACTTCTAAAGTCAAGAGGAAAGTTTATCATTATTACATCTTACAAATACTTATTTTTTTCTGCTTCCATTTAGAGCCGGAACCAACTTATCTAAGAAGAAATCACAAATTCACGTTTAACTGTCCACGCCATATGATAGATGCAGCAGAATCAAAGCTAAGTGCGGACCAGGCTGGTTTTACGCCGAGAATACTTGCATCCAATGCCCTGAAGGGTTCTACCAGGATAGAGCAGGTCAACAGGGGTGTAATGAATGTCCAGATGAAAGAACTTCCACCATCGGAGCATTTTCAATTTCTCAATGTAAGAATTGTAAAATAAAAATCAAATATGTCATTATGGTCTTTCACAAAATAATAAAACTGTTCATATATTAGTCAAGAGAGCAATTATCTTCCTTTGACACTACAACAGCGGTCGGTGGAGCTCTGGGTGGATTGTTTGTATTGATGCTGCTTTTAATTGTTGTGATTGTTATCATGCAGTGGAGGAGATCATCTTTAGGATGCCTTATAAGTGCAAATAAATCCAATTATCCAAATCCAGTTTATGTGGATTGGGAGAAAAACTTCACTTGATTTCTTACTGCATTGACAGAGAAATGTTAGGTTAGTTAATCTTATTAAACAGAAGAATGTGCATCTTATCTAGTAATACAATCTATTAAATTTGTACCGAATTACCGAAAATGAAAACAAAGTCGAGTTTGGAGTTTTTTCTTAATATTTTTTTTCCGCAGTCTGTAAAATTAAATATAAAAATTAAAGAACTTTAAAATGCAATGTAGTACATATTACCAAATATGTTATAAATCTTATTATGAATGTGTACATTTTGCAGGTTCAGCAGATGGATATATATACACATGGATTCTTTAAGACAATAAGAAAAATAAAAAAAAATATTTTTGTGTCATTGAAACTTCAAATCTTATACAAAGAAATCAATTATTGCTGATTTTCTAAAAGCCAAACAAAGATTTTTATGCATTATTTGTTTATACGTAGAAGTTAAAATTTCTGACATTTTTCTGACTGTTTTGTAAATATAATTTCTATACGTTTCTGTATGACTTACCATGCGCCAAACTGACATATTTTGGGTTTTTTTTCTTCAAACAAGCATGAAATCCTTTTTTAAACTACCATGTCTGCGTAACGCATTTATCCCAAAATAAGGTATATTGTCTTGAGAAAAATATTTTTAATACTGCTTTTGTCATTTGAAAAAAATCATACTCAAAATTATGCTAAGTAAGAGAATATAAAATTTTGAGTGATCGAAGAGATTCAACGAATGAAATGTATTAATTAATTCATAAGCATGTTTATGTGAAAATCGGATTTTGGATGTCACCCAAATTTTTCATTTTCATACAAAACCATATATTCTTTTTTTTCTTTTTTCAAGATGGACGAAGTTCAAGAATTTAACCAATAAAATATTGAATGCACCTATTTGTTTTCTTTTCTCTCTGTTTAATTTGAAAATCATTTATTATGCTTTCGTGTATCCAGACAAGTCACAAGTGTACTTAAATATTTGTCCTTATTTATATTTATAGGTACGCAGTCACCAAAGATCTAAGTGATATTCAATGCATTGTTAACTAAAACTGTCGAGTTTACGTTTTTCAAAAATACACAGAGCCAAATAAGGCAAAAGTGAACCTTGTACTTTGAGACAGTATTTAAGGGGCCCGACTGTGGTTTCCATTGCGCAATATTTTGCGCATCAGAGTAAATGAAGCGTATTTACTGTTTTAAAGCAACTTTTCAACTTAATTAATAAAACTAAACAAATATAATAAATTACGGGTCGAAAAATTTTATTATAATTTTTAATAACTGATTTTTAAAAGGATTTTTAAAATGACAGGTTGATTGGCGTCGCAATAGTGTGTTTTTGACATTGGACAATGTGACGATCTTACAGATTGGGTAATGAAATGTTATGAAATAAAAATTAAAAATAAAATATGCTTTTGAAATTTAAAACTTATCAATTTGATAATCTCTCCGTCATATTTATAATTTTTTGTATAAATCCTTTGTATGCGTCATATTTTGCAGTACTCTATAAACTAAAACAAGGAAATTCTTTGGCATTTTGAAATGCCCCCTCTGGAAACAGGGCGGTAGAATTTCGTGGTTTTTACATATAATGTACAATATAGTATTACTCATAATATATTATAGTTTGAGCAAAATGTTCATTGTAGTACTTGACAAGAAGTATAATTTGCTTTTAAGTGTAAAAAATTGGCACTTTCTTATACAATCCTATAGTAAATGTACCTGTATTTTGAGACGGTCCCTTAAAAATACCTTATCGGTAGATTTTCCCCAAACTTTGCATGTACACTTAAGCTAATGTAAGTTATATATGGTATAAAAATGAATAGTTTCGCTATTGTAGTTTTCACACATTTAAACCCCAGTCGGCCCCCTTAAATGAAACTTTTTGCAGCTGGCACTATCGTTTTCTTGATTCATTCAAAAGGCACTCACTTCCGCTCCAACAACTCTCGAACTAAGGATATACCGATGTTAAGGGCGATGTGCCATACAGTTCCTGCTAAATCGACAAAGAAATTAATAAATCTGAATTTTACTTCAATTTTTGCATGAATTATATGTGCATCCTCAGGGAATGCTACATTGACCGAAAATAGAAACATAATTTGCAAGATATTTGTTTTGAGTAAGGATACCATGATTACTTCCAATTCATATTAAAATCTGAATTATAAGTAACCACGTCACTAATTTCCAAATGCATTGCCCTTGTATATTGAATTCCTTTAAATTGTTAAACTCAAACTGAAAATGTATTACCAATCAATTTCTTGAACAGCCTGAACTAATTCAATGAAACATATGGAGATAACGAAGAATATTCAAGATCAAAGGTCCATGAAACAATACAAAATAGGAGCAGAGCAAACACTGACCTTCAAAACATCAGAGCTGGGATCAGGTGCCATGGAGGAGTGAGCATCCTCTGCCGACCGGTCACACCTGTGATCCTTGTCATGATCGGGAAATTGATAACGTCGTCAGTTCAGTGTATGAATAATGGACTACCGATTTACAAAGCTCAAAGTGTTTTCGAAAATTCCTTTAATATAATATTTACTCAATGAAATAAATTGCGTGGAATACCGGGGTATTCACACTTCATCCAAGAATATCTCCATCTGATCTGAAAAGATATCAAAAGATCAGAACACTTTTGTGCATGCAAATGACCAATTTACAAGTTTCGTGATTATTGAAAAAAGCAACTGTTGATTTGTCAAAAAGTCTGGAATTCAATTTATCATTGGGAATGGTTAACGAGTTGTGGAAAAGTCTAACATTTTGATGTTACTGATTTTGGTAAAATTTTGATTTCAATTGTTCTGAAAGTTCCTTTAGACTCTTAAGTATCCACATCTGATTTACACCACTTTTCGAATATACTAAAATAGAATACAGAAATTTCTCCTTCACTGCGGTAAATACTTGGTGTGGACTAAAGAAAGAGGCTTGAAAGGGCGTTAACTGAAACCCGTTATGTATCAGATTATGTTTGAAGATTTTTTATAGAGATTTTAATATCTACATTTTAATTTGTTCCCTTTAAACCCCCAAGCCATTTTTGTGGGCCCAACCCATCCTCTGTGATTTTGAACTTCAATCTGCACAATCTTGCATTTTAATTTGACTTATATTGCCCAGTTGTTCTTGAAAAGACTTTGACAGATTTCCCCACTAAGTATTCCTTTGTAAAGTTCAATTTCAAAATCGGACATTGTCCCTTCTCACGAGGCAATAATTTGATAAAAATTGTAATTTTTTTTTATCAAGACATGTTAGCATGTCAATATGACCAAGTATTGGAAAAAATTGGATGTCGTTTGTCTTTATGATGTACTTAGTATTTTCTTGTATAAAATAAGATTCCCAGTTACTGTCTCACCGGAGGCATAGACTTAAATCTGCACTAATTGAAAATATTTGGACATCAAAATGACCATCATTATTAATTTTGACTTATTAATATTGAAAATAAGGATTGTTTTCTATATCTGTAACATTAAACTTTGCTTCCTCATTATGTCCCCATCCTAGCTCTGGGACATGATCTGAAATATCTTGAAACTGTACTCTCTGTAGATGCGTATATAAGAGGGTTGTTCAAAAAGTTCGTCGACTCGAGTCATATCTTTTATATCTAACGTCAAATGCTATCCGAATTTGATAGAAATATTTTAACAATAAATTCAAACGATTTGTATTAAAAATTTTAAAATTATCCTGAATCATTTTATACCTATCCAGAATTAAAACACTGAAAAATTTAGTAATTCACAAACAACACACTAAATAAACATGATAATGTATGTAGTCATATTCTCTGAAAAATGAAAAAAAAAAAACGAAAATAAATCCTACACTCTTAAAACTCTGCAACAATATATTCAAGATATAGTGTAAATCAGATATGGATACTCAAAAATTCCAAAGAACTTTTGGACAATTTGAAATCACAAGATTTTACCAAAATTAACAGCTTGAAAACTTATGACATTTCAACTTTATACACAACCATTCCTCACCATAAATTAAGTTTACAGCTGCTTTTTTAATAAAAATGAAACTCGTAAATTTACTTATCAGGTCATTGATCATTTGCAAAATTATTTTGTTAAAACACATTCTGATTGCACACACAAGTACTCTGAAGTTGACATCAAAGAGATGCTTGAGTTTCTGATTTACAATATCTATGTGGTTTTTGGAGACTAGGTCTTCCATCAATCTATTGGAATTCCCATGGTTACCAATTGCGCTCCGTTATTAGCAGACCTATATTTATATTCATATGAAGCAGAATTTGTGCAAAACCTTATACGTGATAAAAAAACACTTGCTGTGGCCTTCAACTCGACATTTAGATATATCGACGACATATTGTCAATTAGAAACCCTCTCTACACTACACACTAAAGAGCTCTAATTCTAAGGTATTTTTCTGCAGTTAGAGTGATCTGCCCTTAGATTCGAATTCTAAAAAATACAAATTTACAATATATCACTCAAATTTGTAACGAATTCAAGCATTCTTAACATCTTAAAAGGCCAAGCTAAATTAAATGAACATGTTATTAACATGTATTTTCTCTTTTGAAGTAATCAACAGTTCACTGATACTGTGTTCTCTTTCAACATTTTTCCCGAGGGTGAATGTCACGCACCATACAGTGAAAATTAAATAAATAAGCGCAATATTAATTCCTTTAGTACAATATATTTTACTCAATGTCCGAAAAAAATTGTACTTGTGTGCAGAGGGTCCTTAACTATGGTAATTTCCATTCCTACGTCGATACGATATATCCTAATGAGCTTGATATAAAAGATACCACAGAGTCTGACACATCTGTTTCATACTTGAATATTTTACTTGAAAAAGACACTAATGGTAATCTTACAATCAAGCTATATGATAAACGTGATGACTTTAACTTTTCTATCGTCAACTTACCTTACCTATGCAGCAATATATCTTCATCAACTGCATACAGAGTTTGCATATCTCAGTTGATTCGATACGTAAGAGCTCTACGTTTGAACAATTTCTAAAATAAGGTAAACTATTGACAAACAAGTTGATGAAACAAGACTATCAGCAGTCTCGTTTGAAGTAAATATTTTGTAAATTCTATGGTCGATACAATGACCTTGTCAGCAAATACAATTTATCATTGAGTCAAATGTTGGCTGACGATTTTCATACTAATTGTTAGTCCATTATTTATGCACTGAATTGACGACGGTCTATTTTGTTAATTCCCAATCATGACAAGGAACACACGGTGGATGTGACGGGTCAGCAGGGGATGCTCACTCCTCAATGGCGCCTGATCCCACCTCTGATGTTTTGGAGGTCCGTGTTTACTCGGCTCCTGTTTTGTATTGTTCTATGGACTTTAAATGAGACTATTGATATTTTTGTTTCCTCAGCATGTTTATTTATCAATAATTTGCCTCGTCTTAGGATGTAGAGCATGCTTTTACGTAAACAATTCAATGCTTTCATTGGTTACTAAGTATCGAATCCACTGAGATATTTAAACTCCGTACCAGACATGTATACTGAGCGCATAAATTGCAAACTTTTATTTTAGTTTTATGTTTAGGCGATGTTCCTTTAATTGTGTATTTCAGTGTATATGTATTTTAATAAGATATCATTTAATGAACATTACTTTGAACCTTTCTCTAGAGAATGTTTAAAATTAACACATTGTATCTTCACTGCACCGTCCAATGGTGTGTTTGCCTTTTCACAGTGCAATGTGAAGTAATAAACGGACACTTTTAACTAATGCAAAACTCGGACGTCGTTACATACATCAATGCTCATGATGCTTTTATATTGATGATCACTCATTGTTTGTTGTTTTTGTGAAGAATTTTAAAAATTTTCCCTATGTATTCTTACGTAAAAACATTGGTCACCTATTGTGGCTCTAGCCTTCCCCCGATTGTCATGATTTGAAAAACAAACTTGAATCTACACTACCAGAGGATGTTTGCATATATAACTATGACTGATCATGACTTTGCTGTTCTTGAGAAAATTTTAAACATTTTCCCTTCGTATTCTTTATTAATGTTTGAAACACACCCTATCCCTGGGGTTATGATTTCAACAAACTTGAATCTTCACTATTAAAGGATGTGTCCGTAAACTTTGACAGGGTCATGATTTGAACAAAAGTGAATATATACTACTAGAATGCCTCCATATAACTACGACCAATTATGGCTTTGTTGTTCTTCAGAAGTTTTTTGAAGATTTTTCCTATGTATTCCTATGAGAAACTTTGATCCCCCATTTTGGCCCTACCTTACCTCTCTGGTCATGATTTGCACAAATTAAAATCTACACTTTATGAGTATGCTTCCACATGAGTTTCATATTTCCTGGCCCATTGGTTTTTTGAGAAGATTTTTAAAAGATATTATCAATTTTTCACTAATTCATGATTAACTTTCCTTAGAAGAGGGCGTGACCCTTCATTTGAACCAACTTGAATCCCCTCCACTCATGGTAACCTTGTGGCAAGTTTATTTTCTTGAAATTGGCCTCGTGGTTCTTGAGAAGATGAAAATGTGAAAATTTTACGACAATAACGCCAACAAGGACGACAGACAACGGACAAATTTTGCAGAAAAGTTCACTTGAGCCTTCTGCTAAGGTCTGCTAAAAACCGGCTTGGTGATTGTAATATAGAATTTTACAGAAATGGAATTTCGAGTTTATGCAGGATAAAAATTTGAGATTTGAATAAAAATTAGAAATGAATCCCGTGGATCCATTAGCTGTTCACCATTTCTCCATATGCCACAGAAAAGTAGTTTGAATTCTCGAACAAAGTACATACTTTCATATTTTGACAATTTTCTATTGCAAGTAGCTAGCCTATGGGTAAATGTATCGTAAAGTCACGGTCAATTTATAAAGAAATAATGATAGTCTCTTATGAATTACGGCAAGTTTCTAATTATCACAAACTTTAAGGATATTCTCAGTATAACTATAACAGACAATTTGCATTATACGATCATAAGTATTTCATTGCATAATAGGCAAAGCATATTAGGCTCCTTGCCTTTATCTTGGCGAAATTTACATTCAGGTTTCATTGTCAAGAAATCAACTCACCTAATTTTTAAAGAGTTGTCACAAAAAAATGATTTTAAATGTAAATATGAGGTCACTGTGATAAATGACAGTAGAGCACAAGAGCTCTGGAATATATATGATTGTTATTTTTCAAAAAAAAAATCTATACTCTTTTCTGAGTTTTGTAATGATTTAAATAATAGTTTATTGATTAACAAGCGTTTCTTATAAATTCGAAAGGCGGCTTAGGTAAATATATCAGTATTTCCTTTTAACTCTGTAGAATTTTCTAAACTTTTCTTTGACAAGTTAAGTGTGTCATACGTGCTTGTATTGTTGTATACACATACATGCAGTTTGTGTATAAAATAATGTCGTGAACAAATGTTATTCTTATATAATGATAATTCTTTTTGTGAAAACTTACACACTTTCAATGCAACCCATGATACATAACATTGTTCATATCCTTTGTACAATTCAAAGTGAAAAGGCGC